CTTTAAAATGCTAATTTACTATTCTGGACTCTATTTGCTAAATCCAAAAGATATAAGTTAAAAATGTACATAATAACTTGTAACTCGGAGATCAAAATGATGATCCAACCGTTGAAATTAACGATTTGGATGTCCCAAATGGCTGACCAAATTTTAGTCCGATCCAATAGTTAATAAACTCAAAACTAGCACTTTTCTGAGACTACCTCAAATATGTGCGAATATTATTTACTCACTTCAAGCTCCACTCACTATCTCCTATATATAGGCTCCTCAAACTCCTTCACTCTAAAGATTAGTTGATGTGGGACTTCTATACCATGGTATAATTTTCTAGAATACCATCCACACACACACAATCACACACAAAAACATTATTAAAATAATAATAATAATAATTTGCCTATATCTAACCTTTTTTTATTAACTTAATACTAAAATATATTTATTTATAAATTTAATTAAATACTAGATAAAAATAACGATGTTACACTATTGATTAGCTGTATTACAACTCATCTCTTATATATATATATATATATTTTTAATTTTTGTTTAACACAGCAAAAAGAATGCACACACAATATGTGCTTGATGGTGAAGACAATTCCGATTAAACTCTCTTTGATCTAAATGACATAGTTGAGGCAACAAATGATTTCTCAAGTGCCAACATGCTTGGAAAAGGTGGTTTTGGTTCAATATATAAGGTAGATTTCTATGTATAAATAGCCTGAAATTTCATAAATTGGATTAACGTTGTTTTCAATGGCATTAGCTTATTATTCATAGTAATGGCTTCATGCAACAAAGATAAAACGCATGCATTCATGAATTAAATTATGGTTTTTGACATTAGGGTCTAGCTACTTAAAGATGGAATAGAAATAGCAGTTAAGAGGCTATCTAACTATTCTGGACAAGGCATTGAAGAATTCAGGAATGAGGTTACTTTAATTGCAAAGCTTCAACATAGAAATCTTGTAAGGATCTTAGGTTGTTGCGCAGATGGAGAAGAAAAGATGTTGGTATATGAATACCTGCCAAACAAAATCTTGGACTCTTTCATCTTTGGTATGTCTCCTTATCATTTAATTTTTCTATATATATAAAAGTTATTGTCATATTTTTCAATTTTGGGGGGAAAAAAAAGAAAAGAGAATTTATCTACCAACATTCTTCACTTTTAATATATAGTCTACCACTTTTATTTAGATCAAGAAAAAGCTACAGTTAGATTGGAGGAAAAGATTTGACATCATTTGTGGAGTTGCAAGAGGAATTTTATTCCTTCATCAAGATTCAAGATTAAGAACAATTCATAGGGACTTAAAGGCTGGTAATATCTTGTTAGATTCTACAATAAGTCCCAAAATTGTAGATTTTGGTATGGCAAGAATATTGGGTGGAGATCAAATTGAAGCAAATACGAACCCTGTTGTCGGAACCTAGTGAGTACACAATTCTGTATCATATCACTATAATTTCCTACCGTTGCATTACACAAACGGCTTCTTGGTTTACAATAAGTCCAAAAAAAGACTAGTAAAAACTAAACTATACTACTACTAACTAATTAGTTAGAATGGTTTTCTAACATATCATCATCAATATCTATATCTAAATAATATAAATTTGGATGCTAATTACAAATCCATTATTCGTGGTCAAATAACAATTAAACACAGAGCTGGGTATTTTTGTGATTTATGCCCCATTCAAAGTGAAAATATATTCATGTGACACTTATATGCAAGAAATAACGTTAAAATATTGATTTGAACCTTTTTAGTCGCTTTGGGTTAAATAAAAAATAAAACCAAATTATGCAGTAAAGCACAACTCGGGTCGTGTCTCTTGAAGAGCTTTTTATTAATTTCTAAGTTAGCTATGTGACAAAGAATAAAATAAAAAGGGGGTGAAAAAGGATTTTTCAAGTAATAAAACTAATTATGAAAATAAGAAATAAATCTAAACTATTTTTTTGGTATTTTTAATAAGGAAAGAATGAAAAATGCAAATTTAAATTTTAGAAAATCAGTAATGAGAATGCTTCTTGAAAATGGAATGTAGCTATCCTTGCTTAATAAGATATGGGGGTAAAATAATATACCAAGTTAAGAAAAACAACCCCAAACACAGTTTGGGTCAAGTAAACTCAACACTTAACTACCCTAAATGCTAAATAGTAATCAAGTTATTAAGCCACTTTTAAAAATCACTTGATGTGCAATTTAAATTGAGTTAATAAAACTTGTTTTCCTCTCAAAAACTACTTACGGAAATACTCAATTGCAATACATCTCAGTCATAAAATCTAACAACGCGCCAGATAAAATAATTTTAATGAATGCAAAGGAAATATATATAAATTCAAATTCCAAGTAATACAACTTAAATTAAACTGTAAAAATCCAATTAACAGAAATTATAACGTATAATCTCAGTCTCCAAAATAAATAAGAATATTCCTCACACAGGAAAAATCTAATGAAGTTCAAGAGAAAATTAATTGGAAAACTAAATGCTCCCCTAATTGAAGCTCCAAGCTCAAGCTACTCCTCCATCTCCAAGAAGCACAAGGAAATTTGCCTCTCATAGCTCTAGAAGAATCCATAATAACTTTAAACGAATGAGAATCCATAGAGGTTGTGGATGGAAGGATGAATATGGAAGATTATAAAGAATACAGCGGCCACGTACTTGACCGAAAAGAAGAGGTGAAGATTGGAGGTGAGGAATTGTAGTGTGTGGCAGCGTGGTCTATGGAACTGAATGAGTGGATTTGGAAGCTGTGTATGCGCGCGTGTGGTGCAATTGGTGTTGACGGCGTGGTCTTGCGTGTGGCTATGAAGGATCTGAAGGCTTGTGAGTGCAAGTCGGTGGTGTCTCTGAGTGTGCATCCTCATATACATATATAGGGCAGTTGGCGTGTCGTATGCGGCCTCCATATCTTGCAACTAATAGATTTAATATGTATCTAAATATCTTTCCAAAATCCGTGCCTCCCATCTCTTGCGTCTTTTTTCTTCTTGTTTTTTTTAAAATTCTTTTCTTTTGTTTCAGCTTTTCTTTTATGTTTATTTCCTTTTCTGAGAGGCCTACAAAAGATAAGTTGAGATATTATCATAAAATCCAAAATTAATTATTTAAAAAGAGATAAAAATATGATAAGATCTCCTATTAAATCTCTAATTTCTTGCAATCGGTGTTTGATTCAAAATACCCATAATTAATGCAATTTATCCCACTTTAATTGATAAATATCTCCAAAAAGATATCAAATAATATATTAAAATCAAGATTTATCAACTCCCCCACACTTGAACTTTTGCACCCCTGGGCAAAACAATCAATCACATGAAAGACCACGACTAACACCAAGATTAATTAAAGAGTTATACAAATTTATGAAAAGAGTATAATAGTCCAATCAATGACATCCAATAAACTAGCAAAATTCATAGTTAAAACCAATGCAAAGGATTAGTCAAGTATGTAATCAACCTTGAAAGTGAATAAACGAGAGAAAGCTCTCAAGGATAATAGTGTTTCACTCATGTCATCTCATTAGGGTAATTTTCACTCAGATCTACTTAATTCACATTCTATCATAGGCTTGTAACAACTCTATTGTCTCAATTACTATCACAATCATACAATAAATCATGAGGACTTTAAAGGGTTGCAATGATGGAATTAGGCCACATCGAATGAATGAGAGGAATGACAAGAACTATGCATGCACATATAAATGATGATCATCTTTAAATACCACTAGATATTCCATAAAATCATGTCTCACAGAGATACTTTTGCTACCTCACAGAATCCAAAGGAATGCCTTATTTCCCATACTTCTTTCTTTTGCTTTTTTTTTTTCTATTCTTTTTCTTCTATTTTTTTGTTTTTCTCATATTCAACTTTTTTTTTCACTCCATTTTTTTGAAATTGGCATTCAAACACATTTATGAAGGACAGTAGCAACAATATATGATATGACAAGTCATAAGTATGTTAAGATGCTTTAAGAATGCAATTGAGATGTACAAGCACCGTCGCTTGTCCAAAATGAGAATAAAAGAAAGTGAAGGCTCAAAAGGGGTATGAAATGGATAAAAGATGATAGAGGTTTGTGTTTGGGATAATAGGGTTATAAATATGAATGCCTCAATCACTTTTATCATATAATCACAATGTAATTGGACTAAGAGTTGAAACAAGTTCTGTAGAATGAAAAATTAAGTAGATAATCACACAAAGAAAGGAAATTAGGCCCAAAAATCTTCCAACAAGGTTTATTCTCTCATGCTCACTCACATTGGCTAATTAGAAACTAAACTAATCACAAAGCATTAATCAAACTACTCAAATTACTAGCTATAGGAGTATCATAAATCAAAGCATTATATTCAATCATGAACAAGCATAACTTAAAATTAAACTAGTGAAAGTCTCTCCTTTTTTTTTTTCAAAAACAGAGTAGCAATAGTCAAAGTACGGGGCACAGCGAGCAACAGAATCAACAATACTAATGGTAGAATTAGTAGGGCTCAATCAATCAAAGGATTTCAATGTGAAATGGAAAGGCCCACAAATGTAGAACATGGAGGGCCTACTCCCCCACACTTAGCCAATACATTGTCCTTAATATATTTCAAAAACACACAATCCTTACCAAACTCCCATATGAAGTAGAAGTTGTGAAATCCAATTTAAAATTGAAGCATAATGCATCAGCTTCACTAGAGAGAGGAGGTGAGAGTTACGTAAAGGTTGTGTGGGGTCATGATCAATAAAACAATAAAGACTAAGTGTTGAGTGGATAAAGCAGAGAGCTTAGAGCATTTATCAACTAACAAGAAGGGGGAAAAACTAATCCTAACTACTGCTACTGGAATGGCCCTCCCCCCACACTTATCTCAAATATTCATGTTCAAAACATTTCACAGGCATATGCATGATATGAGAGATAGAGAGAGGAAAGGGACAACCTGGCCTCATGGAGGTTTTGTACTATCGTGGTAGAGCTTGAGAAGGTTTCCGTTGACTTTGAATTTTGATCCACCAGCCTCATCAAGTAGCTCTACCATCCCGAAGTCATGCACTTTGGTGACTCTATATGGCCCATCCCAACGAGTTTTAAACTTTCTTGGTTTGAGCACAAATCGGGCTTTCAAAAGTAGCACTTGGTCACCAACTTGAAAGTACTTTCACAGTATCTTCTGGTCATGAATCTACTTGGTTTTCTCTTTATATATGTGGAAACTCTCATAAGCATCCAACCGCATCTCTTCTAGTTCCTGTAACTGCAACTTCCTTTCCAGACCAGATTCCTCTAGGTCCATATTGCACATCTTTACTACCCAGTAGGTCTTCTGTTCTAGTTTAACCGGAATATGACATGCTTTCCCATAAACAAGCCAGTGTGGGGACATTCCTACCGGTGTTTTGAAGGCAGTTCTATATGCCCAAAGTACTTCTTCTAACCTCAAGCTCCAATCCTTTCTTGAAGGCTTCACTATCTTTTCTAAGATCTACTTGATTTCTCTGTTAGAAACTTCTGCTTGCCCATTTGTCTTTGGATGATAAGCAGTGGATGTTTTGTGGGTAACCGCAAACTTTGCAAGCAAACTGTCGATAATCCGATTGCAAAAATGGGTACCTCTGTCACTTATTATAGCCCTTGGTACCCCAAATCTACAAAAGATAGACTTAAGAAACTTGGAGACCAATTGGCCGTCATCTTTCCTAGTAGGGATGGCCTCTACCCACCTAGATAAGTAATCTACTGCTAACAAGATGTAATTAAAACCCGAAGACGGTGAAAAGGGACCTATAAAATCAATTCCCCAAACATCAAATACCTCACAAAATAACATATGGTGTTGCGGCATTTCATGCCTTTTACCTAGCCCCCCAAACCTCTGGCATTTATTACATGCCTTACAATATAAATAAGCATCCTTAAACAAAGTTGGCCAATAAAATCTAGCATCCAATACTTTCCTAGAGGTCTTTTTAGAGCTAAAGTGTCCCCCATAACTCAACGAATGGCAGGCAAAGAGGATGGATTGAAATTCTGTCTCTGGTACACATTTTCTAATGATCTGGTCATTGCAGATTCTCCACAGGTATGGTTCATCCCATACATAGTATTGGGCTTCTCTCTTGAGCTTCTTTACCTGAAATGGAGACAAATAATCAAGAATCAATCCTAATACCAAATAATTAACCAAGTCAGCAAACCAGGGTTCTTTCAAACCCACAACACATAGACGACATCAGGAAAATCATCACAAACTAAATTAGAATCATCTACTCCCCTTGTATCACTAGGAAGTCGACTGAGATGATTTGCAACATGATTCTCTACTCTGACTCGATCCTTGATCTCAATGTTGAATTCCTGCATAAGTAGAGCCCAGCAGAGTAGCCGAGGCTTAGACTGTGGCTTTTTAAACAAATACCGAACAGCTGTATGATCTATGAACGCTATAACTTTAGAGTTGATCAAATATGGCCTAAATTTATCCAAAGCAAACACAATGGCAAACAACTCTTTCTTAGTGGTTGTATAATTATACTGAGCAGCATCCAAAGTTTTTGATACATAAGCAATGACCTTAGAGACCTTTCCATCTCTTTGGCCAATTATTGCTCCAACAGCACCATTAAAAGCATCACAAGACAGTTCAAAAGCAAGTTCCCAATTAGGGGCAATCAGAATAGGAGGAGTAATCAGTCTATGTCTCAATTCATCAAAAGCATGATTACAATTATCATCAAAAACAAAGTCGACATCTTTCTTAAGAAGCTTTGACAAAAGCAAAGATATTTTGCTAAAATCTTTTATGAATCTACGGTAAAAACCAACATGCCCCAAAAAGGATCTTAAGTCCTTTAGTAAAGAAGGGTAGGGCAAGGAAGAAATAACCTCAACTTTTGCCTTGTCAACCTGAATACCATTCTTAGAAATCACATGTCCTAGCATGATGCCTTGAGTTACCATGAAATGACATTTCTCATAATTCAAAACAAGCTTCTTCTCAATGCATTGAGCTAAGATCTGATCAAGACTAGATAGGCAAGCATCAAATGACTCACTATAGACTGTAAAATCATCCATAAAAACATCCCTGCAATGCTCAAGAAAATCATAAAATATAGACATCATACAGCGTTAACAAGTACCAAGAGCATTACAAAGACCAAAAGACATCCTCCTATAAGCAATAGTACCGAACGGGCAGGTGAAAGTGGTCTTCTCTTGATCCTCAAGAGCTATAGGGGTTTGAAAGTATCCAGAGAACCCATCTAAGAAGCAGTAATGACTCTTTCCTACTAATCTCTCTAACATCTTATCAATAAAAGGTAACGGGAAATGGTCCTTCCTACTGGCTTCATTGAGCTTCCTATAATCAATGCATACCCACCACGAATTCTGAACCCTAGTGGGGATTAACTCATCATTGTCATTTTTAACTACAATCAACCCACTCTTCTTAGGTACTACCTGAACTGGACTAACCCACTCACTATTAGAAATAGGATATATGATCCCTACACTCAAAAGTTTGGTGACTTCTTTTCTCACAATATCTAGGATCAATGGGTTAAGATGCCTTTAGGGCTGTCTAACAGGTTTGGAGTCCTCAGTAAGTAGTATCCTATGGGTACAAATAGTTAGACTAATCCCAGGAATATCAGCTAATGTCCACCCAATCGCCTCCCTGTTTTTCCTAAGCACACAAAGCAACTTAGCCTCTTTATCAGCAGATAAAGCATTTGAAATAATCATAGGCAAGTGTTCATCATGCTCAAGAAATGCATATTTAAGATTAAAAGGCAGAGACTTCAGTTCAAGGGTCGGGGGTTGAGTACTAGAAGGGATTAACTTAGGGAGTTTAAGAGAACAAGGAGAACTCCCTTTTGTAGCCTCAACTAGGTAGCTCAAATTAAGCTCCTTTGAATCTACCTTTTGCTCATTGGCCTTCCCAAGTGTTGAGTCAACTTCAGGTTGACCTATAGCAGCAACAAACTTGGGGTTTTCATCCTTCACACCTGCATCACAACTAGAAACAAGATCTTGCAAGTATTTCAAAGCATGAGGAGAAATAATAGAGTGATTAGAAAGTGCAAGTGAATTGTTCTCATAATGCCCTTTATCCTCGGGTAAAGATTGCCTTAGTTGCTGATCAAAGACATGAGTAAGGGATCTGGATGGAATTGGCCTCTTTGTTGAGCCAACATCATCAGTTTCAACTACAATCTCAGATTCCATAAAAGTATCTGCACATTCAAGAAGCAAATCCTTTCCCAAACCAAGGTCACTTGCAAAAGCAAAGTCAGTATCACAGAGAGAAAAAGTATAAACCTGTGAAGTAGAGAGGGTACTGCTAATCTCAAAATCAGAATATATCATGTTGCTATCACAAAGTATCAGAAAGAGAGTATATAGAAGGAAAAGAGGAAAAATACTCATCATAAATAGACATGGTATCATTAAGTTCAGAAGAATCATGTTCAACAGGCATAGGTAAGTAGTTATCATCATGCAAATTCAATTCAAAATCATCCCTTGCCTCTTCAATGGCCAAATCAATAGCATTAACACCTAACAAAGATTAATCCTCATAGGGGTGTCTTATGGCTTCATACATGTTAAAACATATCTGATGATTCCCAACCTCCATGGTTATGGCACCTTCTTTCATATCAATAATGGTATTTGTTGTTTTAAGGAAGGGCCTGCCTACGATGAGAGTGGATTCACTGGCTAACTCATTAGACGCATCTAGGACATAGAAATCAGCTGGGAAAACGAGGTCTTTCACTTTAACCAAGATGTCCTCTAAGATACCATCAGGGTGCCTAATAGACCTATTAGCTAACCGTAACACAACACTAGTGGGTTTGACTGCTTTAATTCCTAGGGCGATGTAAACAGATTTAGGCATTACATTAATTGCGGCCGCTAAATCTAGCAATGCAGCGGCTATGTTCACTGGTCCAATAGTACAGGGAATGGTGTAGGCACCTAGATCTTGGCACTTTATGGGAAGTTGAGGCTTAAAGATAGCTAACACATTAGAGCTAAGTTGAACTCTTTCATTAGGCCTAAACTTTCTCTTATGAGTGCACAAATCCTTCATAAACTTGCAATATGCAGGCATGCTTTTAATCATGTTGAGAAAAGGCATATTTACTTCTAGCTTACTAAAGAATTCAATCATTTCTTTTTGGGTTTGATCATCATGTAGTTTCTTACCTCTAAAGTAAGCATTAGGAAAGGGAATGTCAGAAATCTTTACCTTTTTACCTTTTGGCGTTAATGCTCCTTGCATAGTTGATTCGCTTTTCTCATGTGTGGTTAGAGCTTTTTCATTGATCTCTTCCAAAAGTGGTTGACTTGCCACTTGAGATCCTGGCCCATCAGTAGACCTTACTACATCTTGAGTAATTTTAGCATTCTTGTTGACCAGTTCTTTCTTCTTGGCTATTTTGGAGTGCTTCAGCTTCATAGGAGTTAACGAAAGGCTATCACATTCAATTTCCTCATCAACTTCTTCGTCATCCTCATTAGAGAATTTGACCACCCTCCCACTTCTCATATTGATGGCATTAAGGGATTTGGGTTGATCACAGTATTTGATGGTAGTCCACCCCCATTCTTAGCTTGCAGTTCGCTCACAGTGTTGGAGACTTGAGTCAGGTGAGATGTCAAAGTGTTATTCTTCATTTCCAATGCCTCAAACCTTTTACACAGGTTTGTTAATTGCGCACTATCATTCACCTTATCACCCTGCATCTTTTGGAGAATCGAAGCAATAAAGGAGAATTGGCTGTCATTCAGGGCCTTATCTTCCCTTAATCGGTTATCCATATTATTAAGCTGAGTAGACATACTCTTCAGAAGTTGGTTGGTCTCATCACTCTTTAGTTGAGAGAGTGAATTATCCTAGAGCGAAATAACCATTCTTGAGGTGTCTTGAAACTGGTTAGAAGGAATACCAGATCCAACATTGTCTTGTAAAAATTGATTTTGTCCTCTAGCCTCATTATTCCTCCAACTAAATCTGGGGTTGTCTCTCCACCCCTCATTGTATGTGTTGGAATATGGGTCCTATTTCTGATTGTCAGTGCAACCTTGATACATTGCAGAAACTTCCTCAATTCTGGATGGGCAAACACTGCTAAGATGCATAAGGGCAGCACAGAATTCACAACTTGGGGCTACAGGGCTTGAGAAGTACCCATGGCATTACATTGTTTTGAGCCCCTATCATTTTCTAGCCTCTCCAGTCTTCTATCAATTTTTTCCATAAATAACTTCAATTCATCAGTAAAAGAAGAAGAAGCTACCTCCCTCATAAACTATTTGTCTCTAGTGCCATATTATTGATCATCTGTAGCAGTTTTCTTAAATAAGTCCTAGGCACCTTGTGGAGTGAGATCGAGTATCGACCCATTAGTAGCAACATTAATAGTTCTCTGATGAAGTGGCAAAAGACCCTCATAGAAATACTGAACCAAGTTAGATTTGGAAATCTGATGATTAGGGCAACGAGCCATCATAGTGAGAAACCTGGTCCAATATTCATGAAACGATTCTCCTTCATCTTGTTGTGCACCAAAAATATCTTTCTTAAGCTTAGAAGACCGGGAGGCAGGGAAGAACTTTTCAAGAAATGAAGTCTTGAGTTGCTCCCACGTAAGTGTAGTGTCGTGCTAAGGAAGTGTTCTTAACCATTCTTTACCTTTTCCTTCCATGGTGAAATGAAAGGTTCTCCTCAAAACTTCCTCGACATTAGCACCTTGGGGCTTCATGGTGGAGCACACCAGCATCATGGTCTCAATATGTCCATAGGGGTCATCTCCTAAAAGGCCAAAAAATTTAGGCAAAGCATTAATCAAATTACCTTTAATTTCAAAATTGGCATTAAAATTGTAAAAACCATGAGGATCAAAGTTCACAGTAGAGTTGTTTATTTCTCTAAGACTCCTTTGATCTTCACCATTATTCCTAGGCCCATTATTTTTCCCATGACCATTATTGTTCCCATTGCCCCTATTTCCATTTCCACTATTTTTACCATTACCCCCATTCTCAATACGATCAGCCATGTCTAAAATTTGGTTAGGTATACTAGGGATGTGCTGCTCTAAAAGAAGTTCCCTATCACTTTTTTGACCCTTTTTCTTATTTTTCCTTTTAAGTTGTTTCAAAGGTATGTCAAACTTAGGATCGTCAAGTAGGGTTTCTTTATCTCTAGTCATGCACAAAGAAATTCAAAACAGCAATGTGCGAAAACGAATGAAGATTAATGCAAAGATGCAAAATGCAATACAAGGTATGAAAAAATAAATCAATAAATAAAATAAAATAAATAAAATAAAATAAGGATTCTTTATATTTTTTATGATATGCAAATGCAACCTAAACTAGAGAAAAAAATTAAATTCAAAGAAAATATAAAGAGAAAAAAAAACTGACACTTAGTTTACTAAGGAACCAATTACTTGGCTCCCCGGCAATGGCGCCACTTGATTTGAACCTTTTTAGTCGCCTTGGGTTAAATAAAAAATAAAACCAAATTATGCAGTAAAGCACAACTTGGGTCGTGTCTCTTGAGGAGCCTTTTATTAATTCTTAAGTTAACTAAGTGACAAAGAATAAAAAGGGGGGTTGAAAAAGGATTTTTCAATTAATAAAACTAATTATGAAAATAAGAAATAAATCTAAACTATATTTTTTTTGGTATTTTTAATAAGGAAAGAATGAAAAATGCAAATTTGAATTTTAGAAAATCAGTAATGAGAATGCTTCTTGAAAACAGAATGTAGCTATCTTTGCTTAATAAGATATGGGGGTAAAATAATATACCAAGTTAAAAAAAACAACCCCAAACACGGTTTGGGTCAAGTAAACTCAACACTTAACTACCCTAAACGCTAGATAGTAATCAAGTTATTAAGCTACTTTTAAAAATCACTTGATGTGTAATTTAAATTGAGTTAATAAAACTTGTTTCCCTCTCAAAGAATGCTCACGGAGACACTTAATTGCAATACATCTCAATCATAAAATCTAACAACGGGCCAGATAAAATAATTTTAATGAATGCAAAGGAAATATATATAAATTCAAAGCCCAAGTAATATAACTCAAATTAAATTGTAAAAATCCAATTAACAGAAATTATAACGCATAATCTCAATCTCCAAATAAATAAGACTATTCCTAACACAGCAAAAATCTAATGAAGTTCAAAAGAAAATTAATTGGAAAACTAAATACTCCCCTAATTGAAGTTCCAAGCTCAAGCTACTCCTCTATCTCTAAGAAGCGGAAGGAAATTAACCTCTCATGGCTCTAAAAGAATCCATAATAACTTTGAACGAATGAGAATCCATGGAGGTTGGGGATGGAAGGATGAATATGGAAGATTATAAAGAATGCAGCGGCCACGTTCTTGACCGAAAAGAAGAGGTGAAGACTGGAGGTGAGGAATTGTAGTGTGCGGCGGCGTTGTCTATGGAACTGAATGAGTGGATTTGGAAGCTGTGTATGCGTGTGGTGCAATTGGTGTTGGCGGCGTGGTCTTGCGTGTGGCTATGAAGGATCTGAAGGCTTGTGAGTGCAAGTCGGTGGTGTCTCTGAGTGTGCGTCCTCATATATATATATATATATAGGGCAGTTGGCATGTCGTATGCGGCCTCCATATCTTGCAACTGATAGATTTAATATGTATCTAAATATCTTTCCAAAATCCGTGCTTCCCATCTCTTGCGTCTTTTTTCTTCTTTTTAAATTTTTTTCTTTGTTTTTGTTTTTGTTTTATGTTTATTTCCTTTTATGAGGCCTGCAAAAGATGAATTGAGATATTATCATAAAATCCAAAATCAATTATTTAAAAAGAGATAAAAATATGATAAGATCTCCTGTTAAATCTCTAATTTCATGCAATCAATGTTTGATTCAAAATACTCACAATTAATATAATTTATCCCATTTTAACTGATAAATATCTTAAAAAAGATATCAAATAGTATATTAAAATCAGGATTTATCAAACATACACTTCAAATACTTAATAAATTAAGTGTTTTTAGTTGAAATGATCATTGACAAATTTCAATAGCCTTTCATAGTCACCAAAATATGCAATAGAAGGAATTTTCTTAGTAAAATCAGATGTATATAGCTTTAGAATTTTGCTTTTGGAGATTGTGACTAGAAGAAAGAATAGTGGTCATTGTGATGACATGACTTCTACTTTAGTGGGACACGTAAGTATAGCTGATGAACAATTCAAGTTTTTTCTGTTTAGTGACAATCAATAACTATTTAAGGCATTCAATTATTTCAGATTTGGAACCGTTGGAGAGAGATATGGAGACTGTTGATCCATCATTAACAGGCGAAACATGCCCTGAACATGGAGTTCTAAAATGTACTCAGATTGGGCTTTTATGTGTGCAAAATATGCAACAGATAGGCCTACTATGTCAAAAATTGTCTCCATGTTGGATAATAACTCAACTCTTCCTCCTCCAAAGCAACCAGCATTTCTTTTCAAGAAAACTAATTGTGATGATTCAAATCCGTCAATCAGTGGAGTTAATTCAATAAATGAGACGAGTACTACTATGTTTGAAGTTCGTTGAAAACCATCACTCTCATGTTCGGTAATACTCTTATAATGCTATAATGTGTTTGTGAAGAGAATAACTAATTAGTGTAATGATACAATCTTCATCTATTTAAAACAGTGTGTGTGTGTGTGTTTGTGAATGATAATGATGCATATATGTTTTTAGGTGCCAGAGCAAGTAGCTTTGTTTAGGAAGTCATTTGCTGATCTTTCATACTGTATTACCTTTACTATTTGAACTGCTGGTGTGTGTGTCTGTGTAGGTGTGTGTGTCTGTGTGTGTCTGCGCGCGTAAACTACACATGATTAATTATAAATAGCTCGTTTACTATGAATTTAAAAGATACTACCTCCAATCCTAGTTATAAGAGCCAGTTGACTAATTTGAGGAGATTAAAGAAGTAAGTTAAGTTAGTTATTTATCCTAAATAGGTGTTATTTTTCCTAAAATATCCTTACTAATCAAGTGTATTGATTAAAACTATCATTATTAGAAGGACTACTTTGAAAAAAAAAAGTATAATTATGAGAGACAAAATGAATTGAGATCTTATATTTAAGACCAAAATAAAAGTAAAATAAAATCTTATATTAAGGACCAGAAGTAGTACAAAACTTTGTAGATTTTTTTTTTTTATGTTGGTTGGGGGTTTGTTTTATATACCGTCAACTTCCGAGAATTAAAACCTCCAGGATCAGTTAACTTATTGTTGAATACGTCGAAATCTTTGTTGTGCCTCGTTTTATTCCAAGAACAACGGTTAAATTTTGGAGCATCAAATAAATGTTCCAATTTCTGGACTAGTGACAAGTTCTATGAGGAATTACAGTTAGTTATGAAAATAAGAAAATATAAAAGAGATTAGATAAATGAGATATACTCTCATTCACTTGGATGTCCAAATTGTGTATTACACAACCCTCTATTTATAGGGTTTTAACCTCATCAAGAGTAAGATAAAATAAATGAAAAATTTATTCACATGAATGCACAATATGTTATGTAACATCCTACCCTATGCACCAATTAGGAGCAGATTAAATAACTAAGGCTAAAAGACTTGTGCTAAAAAGATGAAAATTTTAAAACTTTTTATCTATTTTTGTCTTGAAACTTATAACTTAAAGTTCTGAAAGTTTTGTACGATAAAATAATACCCGGATTCGTTCTACATTCAACCAATAACAATTTCTATTTCTCAGAGCTTACTTTTGAAAACTCTACTTGTCTATTCCGGCTCTCATATATCATGCTTTGTAAATTCTAATTCATTCATATCACAAATATATTATCAATATATGCATATATACACACACACACACTACTCCCTAGCTATGCTAAACTATCCCCAATCACTCCTCCTTATGGAGGTACATATAACCATATAAGTGAAATTTACATAACTTCATAAAAGGAAAAGTATAAACATCACCTATCACAAAAGAAAAGGGGAAACACAACACAAAATGTATACAAGATTAATTAATTAACTAAGCAGTAAGTTCTTCTCTCCTTCCACCTTAGCTGTGCTTCCACCAGCTTTTCTTTCCCCTTGGATGAACTGGACCCTATGGTTTAATAGAAATGAGGAGTGAGATTCAAAGAATCCCACTAGCAATAATCAAATTTCATATATTATGCATGCTATGAAACTGAGCATGCCAAACAAGTCATGGAAAACAACACCTTACAAAATAACTGAACTGAACTGAATAACTAATTGAGACATATTCGCTGTCATTTAACTGAATCTCGCATAAGTGTTGCACAAAACTAAATAACTGAGCAGCTGTATAACTAGTTAATTGAATTATATAATTGAGCAGCTGCCAACTAATTAATAATAAATGCCCATAAACTAGACAGCAAAAAAGCATGCACATGGCCATGGCAATAACTGGTAAGGCAATTTACATGTTCTCATGATTAACTACAGCATCACGGCACAACCAGGCATGCAACCAGTACAAAACATACAAAATAATAATTAAAACTACCTTCCGTCTACTCTCCTGTGCTGGTACCATGCCCCGAATTTCTTCTTGGTAAGCTAGGATGCCAATTAAATCCCAATAATAAAAGGGTGTGTGTGTGTGTGTACATACGTATAAGGTGAGTTAAAACTATGATTAATTTGTAAGTGACTAAATCTTTCTACAGCCCCCACTCAGATACACTCTCCTCTCTTAAGGTGGTTGATCATCTTGGGTAAAAATTCTATATGTTATCTTTATGTATCTGAGGGTCTCTAAAGCTTCCGTTTTTCCTTATTCATAGTTAGCCAAAACAAGGCAAGGAAAGAAAATCATAATTTGATTCCTATTCACCAAACACAATTCAAGCATATAGAGTAATGATTCATTAAAGGCAGCACTTTAAAATAAATTTCCAGAATCTTCTCACTTTACCCAATTATCTTTCTTAACAAAAGAGGCTGATTTTATATCCTTCGTATCTATAAACTCATACTATCAAGTACTCTCTATCAACTTTTAAACATTACCCTTTTATTTGCTTAGGTCACCGTTGAAATGTCCTTAGATAAAATTCATCTAACTAAGATATCCATTTACTCTAGACAGGAAAATATCACCATTTTTAACGCCTCTAACATGGCTTAGTATTCAAAATAATTATAAATTGTGACAAACAATAACAGCAACTTAAACCACCTCCTAACTTCAATTTCAAACTCATAAACCTTAAAATATTCCGATTCAAATATCCACAACCGTAATTCAGTACTTAAAAGCATAATCAGCAAAATTCACATCAATTTCATCAATTATATGGCCTCTTGACGGCAACAAGTGCTAGTCAATTCTCACTGCTCATTTCCTTAGTTTGAACATTAAATTTCTTTCACCATTAGTAAGACCCATAAAATTCCAGCAAGCCAAAATGTCTTTCGCTTCTAATACTTTCATTCTCATTAACCCACATTTAGAAGCAGCAAATCTCATACTTTATTATCGTGAATCACATGCTTAAACTTTTAGAAGTCCTCAAACAACAACTAAATCACTTTTAAATTTTCCCAATTCAATGCATCACAAAGAAGCTTTACGCATAATTAATTTATATTCATAAATTTCACAGCGGCACACATGTATGTCACTAAAGAGTGGAAGAAGAGCATAATTAGTTTCAATCCAACAACTGGATCAGCCGTTTGACAGCACCTTGAAGATATACACCTGATTTTTCAGCAGCAAATTTCAGCAAGCATTATTCACATGCTTATTCCTGTTCATGTATATACTTGTTTTGCCTATATAAGAAAATAAACCATACAGCACATATATCTTATATTCTCATTTAATCATCATGAAAAATTACTTAGCATTCAACAACATCATTCAAAAGCTTTAAAATATATTCTATTAATTTGCCATCGTAACTTTGCAAGCATTAAATAAAAGTTTTAAGCACTACTTGTATAGCCTCTTTAAATTTTCCCCTTTCAAATGTGGACAGCATTTTGCTGTCATTCGAATAGCCTTATGATGGTTTGGAACATTATTATAGCACCATTAAAACGTTCTAAGCTTTCAACTTTAATCCCAAACAGAGGCAATCATCTGAAATTATCATTATTATCCTCTTTATTAATTGTCTAAGCAAACTGAATTAGCACAATACTCCTGTTTTAATAATTACAAGGCACACACCTATATACTTATTTTAACTTCCCTTGTCACAGCTAAGATACAAAAATCAGATTCCAAGTAATTTTTCGTACAGCAACAGACCATAGGACATGCATATAGATATATATATATATATATATATATATATATATATATATAGATGTCTTAATTATTCAAGCTCCAATCACTCTCTCTCTCTCTCTCACACACACACAGAGTTCTCATTTGTACACTTCCTTGAATTCAAGCCAATGGCACATACACAGACAGCAACAATGACTGTACATTTTGCACGCGCGCGCACAGAGAGAGAGAGAGAGAGAGAGAGAGAGAGTTCTCATTCGTACACTTCCTTGAATTCAAGCCAATGGCACATACACAGACCGCAACAATGACAGTACATTTTGCTATATCTTCACCTTTCAAAATACTATATACAATATATATACATGTACGCACCAGTTCGGACAGTAGCGAGTTGCAATACAGACATGTATATCAATTCAAATTCACATGCAAATCTGAAAACGCATATAAGCCCAGATTTCAATGATCCAAAATTTCATTCGACATCAAGCATTGTAGAACCCGAGGCCACATAAATCAAAACAGCAAGCCTCATATTCGACTATCCCAAAACAGAGCAATTCCAAGCACATGCAGCACCGGTTATTAAATCTAATGCACCCTCTATTTTCAATCTTGAACCCCTAATCATTATTCAACCTAAATCAATAACCATTGATCGACACTCACTGCCCCCAAAATCCCATCGCCCACAAAAGAGGGATTGAAGATGGAAGAAGGCGCAAGAGGCTTACCTAGATTAGGGATCAAAAGCGTTTGTGGGTTCTCAGTAGTTTCCTCTTCCCTTCCGCTGAGCTCCCTTGTTCCTCCTCTCCCAAGCTCTCTCTCTCGTTCTCAATCTCTCAATCGGCCTCCCACTCTCTCTCAGACTCTCACTCTAGTACACTCCATCAAGCTTCTTGAATAAGATTCTTGTCCAAGGAGAAGGAAGACGAGTTGAAGAAGATCTGATACAAGAGAAGAGAAGAGGTGACTGAATGCTGTGAAAGAAGGCAGAGAACATGACACGAAGTTAAGGATTTAGGAGTAAGAGAGTCGATAGCATCGAGAGACACGGTATAATTGGGAAGAACTCATATCGAGCTCTCTTCGTAAAAGTTGCCTTATACACTGTAATTAATATAATATCTTATTTAATTTTTATTTTGATTCTAAATATAAGATCTCAATCTATTTTGTCTTTTATATTTATATATTTTTTTTTAAGATAGTCCTTTTAATAATAATAGTTCTAACTAATATATTTGATTAGTAAGGATATTTTAAAAAAGACAACATCTATTTATTACAAATAACTAACTTAATTTACTTCCTTAATCTCTTCAAATTAGTCAATTAGGTCTTATAATTAGGATTGACGGTAGTAATTATTTTTCTTGAATTTCTCCAAAAAAAAGCTTTTACTTTAGGAAATTAGATTTTAAATTATCTCCACCCTTTTATTCTTTCATAAACACATTTATTTTCTAAAATAATTATTTATAATTTTTTTCTTACTTATTCTGGGCCATTATATATTTTTAATAATTTTTTTTATTTTTCTATATTTTTACTCAAAAATAGGCTTTTATAGAATAATTATTTTTCTGAGGCCTATCAAATATCTTATAAATTTCTGCCTTCAAAATTTAGGATATTATAAGTAACACAAGAGTTATGGAATGAAAATTTCTAAAATCCATTAATTAAAGAGGCTATAGAGTACAGGATATGAAAGGTCAAGAATTAAGGGAGTTTATGGACATCCATATAATTTAATATTTATTATACTCCTCATTGGATGTCTATAAGCAAATATTATGCTTTGTTAAAACCTTACTAAAAAAAACTCAATGAAACAAAAACCTAGTGAAGGGAAAAAAAAATACCCAGTATATATTGAAATTGTTTCATTAAAAACCATACCAGGAAAACCTTGTAAAAAAGGAAAAGAGTACAATATGATCTTTACTCCCCCTTATGATAATACCAAGTTTATTCCCCTTGATGACAATATCAATTTTATCATTTCATCTCAATAGAATATACTAATTTCTCAACCCTATTGTTTGTAATGCTTTCAAGGGCATATCTTCCTTGCAGCAACCACACATGATAGATTATCAACATGAGAGAAATTTAAGTATATTCCTCATATCATCCGGATATATTAGTTTATCAATATACTTTCCAATTGCCTTATGCACTATGAAAATAACAAATGAAAAGTTATCTTGAAAATAATCACCATGATATATCTTTCATATACATAATTAATTTATTTTGAACTTGTATAATAATGTTGGAGAACTATTACATCAAATCTCAATTTCACTATCATTAATCACAACATGAAATATCAATATTATATATATATAGGACCTTTAGCCCATTAAATTTAATATATTTTTCAGACAAAATTACCATAACAAAAATCTGTCATCTCACAGTCATTAAAGTATTCAATAACTTCATCTATAAGTCAAGTAAAATGCAAAATTATTTTTTCCAATACATTTTTCTGAATTAAATATATATACTCATCATTTTAATCCACATAACATTTCATATATTGCATTATTTTCTTGGACATACTTCTAGCATTTTTGGGTCCTTCATATATTTTAATATAAATTTCACTAGTTAAATAGTCATATATATAGACTATAACAATATCTCATAGACGCATATTTCCTATTTATAGTAATGTACACAAAAATTATTTATCCACCACATACTAAATGCCTTATCATAATCTTCATTAAAACAAATGATCATATATCACATAATAACTTTGTATTTTATGTACTTGGATTGCAAGTGCAAGTCCTCAATTTTCACATTTTGAAATAACATTTTTATTGCATCTTTTTCTTTTATTTTTTCCTTTGGTCAAATTTCTATCTACATTGTATGATATATCTACATATAGGATCTTCATTTTAATCACATGATCTTATCGCTAAAAGTGTTGTCGACAACTTTATCTTTTTGGTTTTATTTTTTTTTTCTCGTGACATAACATATTGAGATTTCTTTATAACTCTTTAGGTACCTGAACCTCTTATAGGTTTTCCCCCCCCCCAATTAGTTATGTCTTGGCACCTTTCTAGAATGCATAACTCCTTAATATGACTTCTAAATTTCATGCTTCTTTTTATTTGATAAATTATATTGGAATCGATTAATCTCTCAAGCTCCTGGTATATTTCACTTTTATTTATACTAATTGGAGCATTTTAAGCTAGAATATGAGATTAGTAGTACTCATTAGGGCAGTAATAGCATCTTATAGATATTTTGTAATATGTTATGAATGTATTCTTTGATGAACTTCTGGTTCATACGACCATATATTTGAGGATCTATGCTTGATAATAATAATGCATTTTATATGTTTTTTTTTCAGCTACTCAATTTCTCTTTCTTATGTTGGGAAAACTTTGTCGAATGATAATCAATTAATCATGTAGTACAAGTTTTCTAAATCTATTTATTTCATTTAGAAACATCCTTTCATTTCATTTACAAACAAGAAGGGGATTCTTACCCAACATTATCCCAACTTTCTTTAAATATTCATATATGTGTATTGTAGTGGGCTAATAGTGATGATTGTTGCACATTTAAACTTCTAAGATATAAATATTTGGCTTTTGACCAAAAACCAATTTTATTGGGAGAATTTTGTTTGCTTGATTATACAAGTGCTGCAAAATATCAAATCAAATATGGAACACTTAACTAAAGATCATGTTCTCAAAAGTATTGATAAATAATTTTGCTAGATCATTTTGTTAAGCAGGCTTTTCAACTATTTTCTATTAAGTTTGTGATAATTATTGAAAGCTTGACAGATAAACTCACTAGCATGTTTAAGAGAATTTTCAAGATCTCATCACATATTCTGGAAATTTCATATAATCTTTTACATAAACAATCTTGCAAACTTCAGGTTGTAAACTAATAACAATATACATGTAACGATCTTATATATGCTGTCTATTAAATTTATTAAGTATTTGTATGGTTTACATGCTATCTAAATGGGCTCATATATCAGAATTTGATATATTTTTATAAATCTAGAGATCTATTCCAAATCACAACAAGTGATATTCTTATAATCAATTTTCTTTGAGAATAGGCCGCACATTGTATAACACGTTAACTATTCATGAAGAATCTTCTGGTTTTTCGATGGATATAATACGTTATCTTCAATAAATTACTGCATCATATATATGATCCAGACTGATCAAACAAATCATGCCAACAATAAATCTGACTGGATTAATAAACTCCTAGTTTACTGTATTATGTTTCTTAATTAGTAGTAAACTTTCAATTACATATGATTGATTTGAAATCTCTATATGACATCCATTTTTGGAAGATCAATTGTGCTTTGTGGCATTGTGAGCAAGTTATATGAAGTATATGAGCAGAATTTCTTCCAACATTAATTCACACTTGTATTACAATAATCTCTCCCTTACGTGTAAGTCATATAAATATACTTCACTTATTCAGGTATTTCAAAGACAGTGATCAACATATAGTAGGTCAATAACTTATATTTTATTTGAAAGCCCAAATAATTCCCAACTCATATAGTCATGGATTTCAATCCAATTAAGCTATCACCTTCAAATTTTTTTGGTGAATCAAAGTTCTAATGTAGATCTGTGATCATGATATTTTCATTATCAATTCTGTTTGCCCATAAAAAATATGTGTATTAATTCTTGAGGAACTATATCAATTTTATTATGTAAAGTTCTTCAAGAACTACCATATATTTTTTTGGACTCAAGAACTACCATATATTATTACATCACTATATAATTTCATTACTCATTATAATATACTTTCTTTTTTTCTTAATGCATATTCTAAGTATGTAATGCGTAAAATTTTTCATTATATTTTTCTGATATATTTTTTTTCTTAAACATTACTCCTCGTGTATATAGTAACATTACAAAATATATTTATTAAATTTATAAAAAAAATTTAAGAGAACTTCAACATATAAGAACTAAATTCAAAATACATAAACATTGTCCTACAATAATTTATGATGTTTATTAGGAGATAAAATGAAATGAAGAAAATTTGAGAAGGAGTATAAAGACAAATTTAAATATATCATTAACATTGTAATATATAGATTTGACTTGCAATATATATAAAATCTGCATATACTACAAAGTGATTTTGTAACCAATCAAAACTAACATAAATTATTCATTTTCTCATAACATTAAATAAATTTTCATTCTCTCAATTCAAATGTAACATAAATATATGATTTTTCTTTCTTTCAAATAAAACTAATTTAATTCCAATATATATTTCATATGTTTAAATTTGCAAATAAATTGACATAATATATTAAAATTTCAAAATTACCAATAATTAACTTTCGATCTATTTGATTTCACATCACTTATGGAGACTATCACAATACCAAATACATATAAAAATTTGTTTCTATAAATGAATCATAATAAATTTAAAGACTATCAAAAATTAAAAAATGTATAGCTTTCTAAGCTTATGGTTATATTTTTTTTGGCTTTATAATAACTTTGGGAATTTTTTTTCCACAATTAATTACCTGGTTAAAATATACATTTGGTCCTTTAACTTTGTACAATATTTCAATTGGGTCTGTTAACTTTAAAAAGTATACTTTTAGAGTGTGTTTGGTTGGAGGGGAGGGGAGGGGAGGGGAAATGAGCCCCTCCCCTCATTTGGTTAAAAATTTTGGAGGGGAGGGGAGCTAAAATGTCCCCTCCCCTCCCCTCCCCCATTTTGGCTCCCCTCCAAATTGGGGGTTTTTGGAGGGGAGCCAAAATTTTGGACCATTATGCCCTTATGGTTTTTTTAATATTCCACTTCTACCCATAAAATATATTATTATAATATTTATTTCAAATAAAAAAATATTATCCTAAGTAAAAAAATAAAAAATATATACATTATTATAATTAAAAATATATTATAAAAATTATTTAAAAATAAAAATTATTTAAATAAAA